TGGGTTTGGGATGTCCCGATGTCCAGCTTGTCAACTGAGGTGGTGGGCTTGCCCGGTGTGTTTGGATGCTGAGGGCGCTGAAAGTCGTGTCGTATTGCCACCGGAGACACACCCTAGAAACCTTATAGTTCTGTTGACTTTTGGTGGCTTCGGTTGACTTTTGGTGGCTTGTGTTGGCTTTTGGTTTCTGTTGGCTTTTGGTGGCTTCTGTCGGTGGCTTCAGTTGCTTTTGATGGCTTGTGTTGGCTTTTGGCTTTTGTATGCTTTTGGCGGTTTCTGTTGACTTTTGATGGCTTGTGTTGGGTTGGCTGGGGCTTTTTCACTGTTGCACGGAACGTGATATACCCAAGATATATCAAGATATGATAGTTATTCTCTTGTATTGTATCTGGTCACTACCACCTACCGACTAAAGAATCCAAGAGTTAGCAACGATCGTGCTTGCATTGGTTGTGGCTTTGGCCAATCCCGGCTGACCATTAGGAATATAGGAATGTGAAGTCCCAGGCACAGCTGCCAGATGTAAGAAGGTATTGGTTTTATCGAGATGTTTTGCATGTAATGTAGCTCGGAATATTCATGTGAGGACTTGAAGGTCTTTTCATTAGGAATAACGCTTAACTGGGTTCCTACGATAGAGTGAGTGGATGACTGGCCACATCTGTAAGATAGCCAGTCACGCTTTGAAAGGGAACAGTAGGTGCCTTTTGTTTTTGCACTTCTTCACAAGAGCATTGTGGACCTTCCCTTTCCTTGTGCCTTTTCCTTTCCCTTTCCTTTTCCATGTCCCTTTCCTTTTCCTTGCCCTTCGCTTGTCCTTTTTCTTTTTCCGTTTCCTTTCCCTTTTCCTTTTCCCTTTTCCTTTAAAGGCAGCAGCCAAGAGCAAGAAAAATAATACATAATGCAAGAGTTTAAACAATCAAATTATAATATACTAAAATCCGAACCCCATTCTATCCTATGACCCACTTGCCTGTCTGCAAAGGCCATTTGCCTTTGCCCTGCGACAGAAGCCATGGACCATTGCCAGGAATTGGGCTTATCCCCCAAGCTTCAGGCTGCAGCGGCGACCGGGAAGATGTTTTCGACATAAAACTCTACTACATGCTTCCAACGAAGACTGTCATTGTTGAAAGCAACAGCGACTTGGGTGTTGCCCAGACAGGAGACTAATCTCAGGAATGTTGCGAGGAACGTGTCGTACAACATCCTTTGGTGGTTGACTCGACGATGATTTTCTATTTTTGGAGCTCTGGCCATCCAAATATCCGCTCAAAGCTTGTGCCAGGCGCATTACAGCCATTTTATTGCGAAGCAAAGCCAGTCCGGCGCCCTGAGAAGTTCACTCAGGAAATGGATCATGCTGCATCAAGCAAAAGATGCAAAAGTGAAGAGTGCTTGATGGATAGATGAAACCGGAGCCTCATGAGTGGCATGAGGGCAAATCCTTCAACCGATGCATGGGCACAAAAAACAACTTCTTCCTAAGCTGACCCTGCGCCGACACAGGCACAGGTTTGCCACTGGAACTTTGGATCGAACATATTTTGCCATGGTGGGGATCCCAAGCTTCACAAGTTCTGATCGATGGTATCCTTGGAGCATGGGTCTCTACAAATCCCCCTTTGAGTCCTAAGCTTCTTCGTTCATGCTGACTCTGGTAATTTCATTCTGGTGGACATTGATTCTGTCCCCTCGCCTTCAGGTGTCCGCGCTGGTGGTGCGGTGCTTGACTTTCCAGTTTGGTAGGAGTCGATGGGGCTGCCTTAGGAACGATATAGGAACGATACACAGGCGTTGGGAGCCCTTCAAGGCACTCTTCAAGATACCCAACCAAGATAAGATATGATTTGCTTCACAGGTATGTATTATTTTGATCTCAAGGCTTCAAACGTATTCAAAGGTCCCACGGCAATGCATCGAATGCAAGGCAATGCATGGCCCTTTAGCTTCCATAATGCCTTGCTTCTGAGGTTTGATCAGCCTGAGATCATGACACAGAAGTCGGCATTGCACCTTGACAGCAGACGCTTTGTGACACGATTCTTTTGGACTCCGACGAGACGACGATCTTCTCCAACTTTCCCAAGGTCCATCCTGAGCAAGCGTATGTCCAAGGCTGGCTCTATCGAATGGACAAGGGCATGTAGATGTAGAATGTAGATTTAGATGTCATGTTGTTATCGTTTAAGACAATGTCCATTTTAGAGGGCCACATGTGGTTTTGTTGCTCACCCTGCATTTGGCACCAGGTGTTCTTCAGCACTAGCACCTGCAGCACCGCCAGTGGCATCTCTGACGAGGCTGATGCAATTTGCACTTTGTAGAAGTTAGTGCTGTCATAGCCTTAGCTGATATGAATTTGCGATTCCAATTGGGCAACAACGCAGCTGAATTGGTATTATTTTTGAGTTGATGAATCCAGTCTTGCAATGCAAAGGCAGAACAGTTCAGAAGAGTAGTGTTTGGGCTTCTTCGGAGAATTATCCTCAAGACCTGTACCGAGTATGTGAGCAGTGAGAAGTGAGAGACAAAACCCGTGGCCAGTTTCTTGTGACCGGCTCAGTGAGAAGGTCCTTTAGGTGAGAATTCCGGGTTCCTCCAGCGCGCAGAGGAGTATTTCCTCCCTGTTGCTGTCATGGCAGCTTTGTTTTAGTTACTAGTTCCTTACACGTGCCAAGAAAGACTTAATGGATGGTCAAATCAAGATGTACTTCATTAGAACTCACGGTTAAACACAGAAGTCCTGCACCACCCGAGAAAGACCATATTATCAGTTGCAGGGCTTTTATTTGGACACGGTGTGGGGGATTTCTTTTGGCAGGATTTATCCAAGAAAGGTCCTGGACTGGTCCTGGCTGTCAGTGTCTCGCAGGCGGACGGAGCAGTGAGTGGAGATGAGGCCGATTGGCTCAAGCAAGGACCATGGATATTAAATAGTCATTATTCCTTATTGTTGCTGGTGTTTTTTGGGGGTACACTTGTTTGAAGCTTTGTCGTTCTTTTAGTATGGCAGCTGGCAGGTGCATTTCACAACAACAGAAGTGCCAACGGCTTCAGACTCAGTGTTGCGGTTTGCCTGTCACCAGGTTGGTCGGAAGGCTATCATGTTCTAGTCACCCTCATTTCATGGCTTCTTGGTGCGGTTGGAATGTCTCAAGATTGGGCTGAGCCAGTTGAACGTTTTGAGATTTTTCCCAAGTTAGGCATGTTCCTTGAAGCCTTGAACCTATCAAGGCCGCCCCGCGTCGCCGAAGCATGTGGGGCGCTCAGCCGCTCGTAGCCAGAGATGTCACTGGGAGGCAGCAGAGGCAGTAACGCGACCAGCTGAGGTACCGCATTGCTACAAAAGCCATGCCAGTATCTTAGTTTTATCTATGCTGCGTTTTTATAACTGCTTTTACACATCTTTAACATTCTTTAACTTATCAGTAATTTGCTAATCAGACTTTGTTTCGTGTCATGAACCTTGAGTTTTACATGTGTTCGGAATTAATTAAGACGGTACCTTATTGAAGAATGCCAAGAGCAGTTGAGACACATGCTGGGTCAAACGATCTTTTCAGTGCTTGCCGCGGTTCTGACAAGGTAGCAAGAAGCAAGAATGCATTTGCATGGAAACCATGCTTGTGTTTGGAAAATCATCCCTCCAGCAGCAATCAACAATAGCTTTTCTTGCATCATACCCACCAACCACCAGACTTTGCCCACAATCACAGATTCTCCCTTTTCCCGACTCTGTGGTTGGGATGAGACCTGGACTCATTAGAACATCTCCCTTTTACGAGGCCTCTTCGTAACACTGTTTGTATGATTGGTTGAGAGATCGCATGGGGTCGTTGAGTCCAAGATTGGGGTCGCCACGACTTTTTTTCCGACACACGTTTGGGCTCGGTCTCTGGTCTTCATTCGGCTCGGTCTTTACAAGACATTTCTTAGGTCACTTCTTGGCCTCTCTTTGTACAAAACTTCGCCTCGGATTCTTGGCCTTTTGGAAGCCTTTTCACACCGAGACTGCAGACTTGCCAGGCGCCGATGCTTGCGCTGCATGGGCCGCTGCTGGCCCATCAGGCCTCCCAGGTGCGGCTGCTCGCTTTACGCCTCACTGGACGGAGCGAACGTCGCGAGCACGTGTGTGGAAGTTCTTTTTTCGAAAAGAAAGAGGACGACGAAAGTGGAGGATTTTCTTTGTTGATCCATGAAAAGTTGATTCATGTTGATTCCTTTTCTGTGTTCTTGCACGTTGGAAGCAACTTTCATGTCGAGAGACACTTGGAGAATCAACCGCCGGACAAGCTGAGGACACCGAACGAGAACCATACGCCGGCCACCCACTGGTCCAGCGGGCTGAAGAGCCCATAAGATGAATCCTTGCTTCATATTTTGCTTGGTATAGTCTAGACATACCTATATAGACCAACAGCTTTTACGCGACCCTTATTCTAGAGCTTGTGAAGCAAATATTGTTTCATCTAGATGAACAAGAAGGGACAACTTTCATCAAGGTTCACAGACGCATTCAATGAGTGTTGCCACCTTTTTCAGGCAACAGGGTTGCTTCAGGGTTGCTTCTTCGCTTCTAGTAGTAATTCCAGGAGCTACTAGTAGCGTCCTTGTTACTAGTAGTAATGGCCTCCAACCTAATAGCGATGGCCTCCAACTTACTAGCATTTTGTTACTAGATTCATTTTATGTATGGAGCGATTCAGATGTCGGCTCAAGTTCAGAGTCAAATATTGAAGGACTTTGGATATGCATCCTGCTTTGACGGTGTCCTTGTGCTCACTTGAAGCACGTGCTTCTCCTGCCAACACGCACACAAACACACACGCCACAAAGGCGTTCCAAAGCATGCCCAAATGGTCTGGGAAATCAAAGACAGAATCTGACGGTGAGGCAACAGCGTGATTCTATGCCATGTGATACTTGGCACACTGAACGTTGCACGCAAAACTGCACCTTGTCCAAGAGCCACTCCATCAAGTTTACAATGCGTTGCGGTCAGCTTTGATTATCAAATGCTTTTGCGCTTTGTGTCATGGGTGCCATGGTTGCCTTTTGCAGCAGGCCTTGCTTCAGCATGATGTTGGGCTTTACTCACTCTTGGCCTCCAGCTCCTTCATTGGAACAGTCCAAAGACGGATACACCGAGAGCTCAACTCCTTTTTCTGGAATCTAGTCAAAAGGCAGGCACTTCTGGTGGTGATGGATCTCTTCCATTTCCGCGACCCGTGTCCAGGGCCCCAAAACAACGGACCTCGTGACGGATCCCAACGCGGACCCTTTTCCGACACTGACAGGATTGCTTTGCTTCCCATGGCCTTTGCTGAGCTTCAGGCGGGCGTTTCCCTGGATCGTATAGAATGATACAGAGTGGATAGAGTCAGAACATGAGACTGCAGGACTTGGAGTTTCGGCTTATCAACTCCCTCTGGTTAGCAGTTTCTTCAGGACATCAAACCATCTATCTCATCTCATCGTGACTGATTCCAACTGCTGGAGGATGTTCATCCTGAACTCTTCAGATGGGTCATGACCTGGCCGCAGGCGCGGTGTCACTGGGATGTACAAGTATATTATGGTGCTGCCGAGTATGTACGCTGCCGTCAACCGGGACGCATGCATACAAATACATGAAGCAGTGGTTGAGTTCCTTGGTTATAATATAAGTTTGGCGAGTTTCCTTTCTGGCAAACAGACCAAATGGACATTTATGAACACAATTAAGTGGAGGATGCACTCGATTGCACTCCCAAAGATTCCGCCTTTTGGGGTGCGCACATGTGAGAGAACCATCGGTTCAACCGACTCTGGCACCGCTGAAATCGCTTGGACACCGGTCGTTGACTGCAATGAGTTGAACGCTGCCATTTGGCGGATCAGTGGATCGATCGTTTGGAAGCTCAAAAAAGCACACTTAAAGCAATAAGAGAGAAAAGATGGATTGGCGATGGGCTCCAACCTCGACAGCTCAACTTCGAACACACAAATGCACGACTGTACGGGGCCGGGGAAGGCACTGTGCGAGATACAATTCATGCTAGACTATGCTAGACTTCTGTCAGTTGCTTAAGAGTCTGCCGCAGCTGTTGATGGGTGCCACTTCTTGCAGGTGCACCCACCCTGCTTCGATTTGAGTTCTTACCAGTGTTGCCAGTCTCATCTGATCTTACTCAGTACTCAGTCACGAAGCCGGTCATGCTCGAAGTGGTCGGCAGGCCAGGGCAGCCAGGGATCGCAAAGACTTGGACCCAACAAGGGCTAGGGGTCGCCATGTTGCAGGTCTAGACCCATCTCTTCTCGGGCATGAAATAGATGATGAACAGCCTACAGCCTGATGTTTTTTGGATTGGGCATGATTGGACATATATATTGCCAATATGGACAACAGATACAATAGTAAGATTACACAATCTTTGAGTCGACTCTGGGCCATGGCACATCATGGATAAGCCTACCAATGCCGATGCTGATGGAGAATCCTCTGGAGAAACGCCGCTTCTGGACTCTCCAGATTCGAAGGACCCTGATTCAGCACGATGGTGTCACGAAGTCATGAAGTCCAAACATGTCGTTTTAAAACATGTCTTTACTCCAAGATTGACTTGAGAATTGCCTTGGCCTCCAGGAATTTCAGCTTGACAATCTGACTTAGAACTCGACCATTCAGGCTTGGCACTGTGTCCGTGATTGCTTAATTTGTTCCTTGTATCTGGAGATGGGCTTGGTATGGCTTGATTCACCAGCCTGTGTCGTAGACGTTAGGTGAACGGCTTGCTTGTGCGTGTGCTGCTCAAGAAGACTGCCTCAGGCCAGCGACACAGCAGCCTGGTCATGCTTTCCGCAGGCCAAGTTTGTTTTTTTGTGGACACTTGGGCAGAACAATACTGTAGCACTGTAGCTCTATAACAGACCATGCAAGCAAAGGACTGCCAGGTCTTTGAGACTTCTAGCTGCTACCAGCTATGCTCTCTGAAGCCAAACATCGAAGCCATTTAGCCGAGCATTGAAGGAAGAGATCAAACGGTATGCGTTCAGCAACAACATAACCATGTTGGCTTTTGTAAAGCAACGCCCTCAACACCTTGACCCTCCGGGGCGACTCTTTGATGCTGTTTGCGTGTTTGAGAAGGCAGGCACAAGCCGCACAAGCCAGCGACATATTTTGCCATGAAGCTCTTCGGTGTAGCAGCCGACTTGGCGAAAGACATTGCTTCCAAAGGCGCATCTCTGGCCCCAGATATGTTTGTCGCAGATGAAGCAGCTGAGCAGTCGATCTTGTGTGCAACTTGTGGGCGACAGAATCCAGACACCGGACTGCTGTTCCGCTACTGTAGCTCTTGCGGGTCATTGTTAGAACGACAAGCTCTTCGACCTGAGGAGGTGGCACGAGCGCTCATCGTTCTACCCTCGGATGTGGCGCGTGGATGGAAGAGCTTCAAGGTTCCAGATGGACGAAGTTTTGGTGTGCGCCTGCCAACCGACGCACAGGCCGGTGTGAAGCTACTAGTGGGCATGCCAAAGCAGTCCAAGAAGGAAGGGAGAATCGATTCTGCCTTCAAGATGCTTGAGTTCGCTGTGGACCCGGTGGATTGGGCTGACAAGCTGATTTTTGGAGATGACGTGGAAGAGCAGGAGCTGCGAAGTCCTAGCGAGTGGGTGCGCATTGTGGCAGCGCAAGCTCCAGGCAACGGAAAGGGTGGAAAAGACGGGAAGGGTATGAAGGGGCAGATGCCTCCAATGGCACCAGGACTGCCGATGACGGAGTCCGCGACTCGACGGCCACAGATGCCGATGGTTCCAGGGCGGCCACCGCAACTCGTTGCCAGCGGGCTGAATTGCGCAGGCGCCTCATATCCAGGCAGTGCTCCAATGCCAAACTTGCCGAGCCCAGCCGAAAGGCTTGAAATGGCCACAGCTTCAGGTAGCCAAACGGATTCTGTGCTTCCATCCATGTCAGGTTTGACTGATATGGCAGGCAAAGGCTTGACAGGTCTTTGGAAGAAAGCTGAAGGAAGTATGTCAGATCCAAAGGTTTCTGAGCCCAGTGTTTGGCAAAGTTGACGTGCAAATCAAACGCTTAGAGGGACCTTTTGTCCGTGTCACCGCTTTAGCACCTAGGAACACATTCAGGCTGTAGCGGCAAAGACCAGCTTGTGGAAGAGGTCAAGAGATGCAAAATCCTGTTGGAAAGCAGCAGTTGGTTGACCTGAGCCCTACAAGCAACCAACTTTAGTTTGATTTGCACCCTTTCCTAACCAATACTAGCGGTCCCGATGATTCTTTCATATTTTTGCAATATTTTCCTATGGCGGGGGCCAGAATGGTCATTTAGTTTCCTGTTTGGCAAATGCTATTAATTGTGTTGGCGTATACCGTTCAGGGGACCCTAGAGAAGACTTGACGAGGAAGGGGAGGTTCTTTCAAAAAGGAGTGCTTTGTGACCCCTAATGATGGTAGCAGACTTCAAATTCAAGAATGCAATACAAGCTTGTTTAGGAGGAAGGGCAGTAGTGAGCTATCTAGATTTTTTGGTGAGTGGTGCCTACTTATGCTTGCTTTCGTCAGAAGGACATAATTGAGGCTGGTCCAACTCAACCCAATATCCCACCAGTGGCTTGCCCTGTATTCCACCCCTGGAGGCAACTCTCACTGGCCGATCTCGGTACAAGCCAGGGAGACGTCGTAGCACACGTTCTCACGAACGATAGTGAAGGGAACGAAGAGCTAGGATAATTACAATGTCAATGCCAAGCTGCAAGGCATCAATAAGAAATAAGAAATCACAAGAGCAACCACAAGGTCACAGTGATGATGACAACCACCATCATGACCACCACAACCACTACTACTGCTGACTACTGCTGCTACTGCTGCTGCTGCTCCTGCCACTGCCACTGCCACTGCCACTGCCACTGTTCGTGAAACTGCACCACAACGACAACCACCACCTCGACCATCAGCGCAACAGAAAAACCTCAATGAAATGCGCACGCCGCAAGGGTGAGCCTCACACGTCGCAGTGACAAAAGCACCAACACCAAAGAAGAGGACCCGAAACGACCAGATCACAGAGGAACCACAGTGGCAGGTGTTAGAATGTAATGACAACAGGAAGAACAAAACAGCGTCAATCCAAAACATAATACTAGCATAGACCCCAAGCAGTTTCTGGATGATTTTTTGCGTCAATTCCTTGAAGTCCAATGTTGGAGAAGACCCAAGGCTCGAGGGATGATATCAAACTTGAAACGCCGCATCACTGTTGCACTCATAGCCACAAGAAACCCACCCGAGGTGGTGGAGAACGGGAAAGCACTGCGGCAATCAGGGGAGAAGGCGCGGACAAGGTGGAGAAGACAGGGCCCACGGCGTATCCAAGCAGGACACGCAGACCCCGACAAGGCGCCATCATGCAAATCCGGATACACGACAACATGGCGTCGACAAGACAGCGGGATCGGATAGCGATTGACAGTCTGTCAGCGACTTCCCAACACAACGCCTTCGTGCTCAACCTCGCCTACAGGGACAGACAGAGTGACAAAGTCAGCCAGCTAACCCACGGTTCACCTTCGGACGATCCGAACGAATGGCCTCAGCAAAGCGGAGACGCACTCGACCACATATAAGGAGTTGTAAGCTTATTTTTTTGTCAGAACGTAGCGGCTCGCGGCACTAGAACACTTCCAGAAGCATCTTTCAGAGGTTGGATGGTGCAAGGAAGACTGATTGTGCAGGTGGCCAAGTGGTGTGCACATTGCTGGGCCAGAGGCCTGCTTTTTCAGGCGCCTTTCTATTCAGTGAAGCATCAAACTGCATGAACAACTAATCCATGTGCCACCAATGATATCTCTAGGATTGAACCATTCTTCCGCCAGGCTTGGATTTTCAGAGCCGGAGGAAGAACACCCTGAAAGCCGAAAAAAGCCTGCCGTCGTCTACAAAGAGAGGGATGGTCAACGCAAGGGGTAAGATTCAGTGGAGTTGGGCCGAGTTTGCCCGCGTTGGGCCGCCATACTCAAGGGGCCCACACTTGCAGGTCATGAAAGGTCGCAGAATTTTGCAGTCTTGACGTGCTTTCAAGGAAGCAAACTTAATGATTCAATGATTCACTGCATTTCAAGATGTCCAAGCATGTCCAAACATGAGCGAGGGGGGTTCATGAGCATGGATTGCAGGCTTTTGGTGAAAGAGTGCGACAAATCAGTGCAAAATTGCATATCATTTCTTAACGAGGAAAGGAACACTTAGAGGTCAGTCATCGTAAGCCGATCTTGGTGTGACATGGTTTAATTCCATACATACAGGCTCTCTCTCACCCATACACGGGTTCGTTCGTTCCTGCACGACTTGCGGCACATGACCAAAATCGTCCGGGTTCTTTCCGCCCTGGGCGGCCAACAGCTGCTCGATTCGTTTGATGGGCACCTCAGCGTCGCGCCAGCAGCTGCTCGAGCGGGCAGAAGCGCTGTGTGAGGCTTTTGCTCAGCGGAAGAGCTTGGAGGAGGCGGGCTGACTGAAGACTGGCAATGTGTTGAAAAAAG